AGGCTGCCATGTAGATGGTGGAAATGAGGCTAAGCACACAAGCAATTACAAATGCTGTAGCAAAACGGTTATCCATTCTGGCATTCAGACTGCTCTGTTTAAAAAGCGAACAAGAAAATAACAAAAGTTACACCTCATAGACAAAAAAAAAAGATTATTTTGAAAGGAATTTTCTCAAAATCATCCTTTACCCCATTTCCCATCCCTCAGCTAGTTCATGCATAATCAAATCATTAAGGAATTTTTAAAAAAGTAAGTAGGTTCTTAATGAAGTTTAAAACAAAACTCATTATCAAGAAAGTACTTATTGAATGCTCACATACCCAGGATGCTACGGAGACAGAGGTCTTGTTCTCTAGTCTATCACCTGCATACTAAAACAGACAACACTGAAATGGACATACACATTACAGATACAAACAGTAAACAAGCCCAGAGTCAGCAGTGTACCGTGATAAATTATAAATTACAGACTGCATTTTTAACAAGCTGCAGAGCAAGAATTGTTCTGGGTTTGAGTGTGAAAAAGACGTAGGAAAAGGAAGCAATGGAAATCAGGTCCTCTCAGTTACCTTGGAATTGAGAAGCCTTATAAAACAAGGTTAAGAATCAGGAGCTACTTGTAAAACAGAGCGCAGATGTTTGGTAAACCCAAAAGGAAAGGTTGTTCCAGAAACACAGAAGAGCAAAGAGAAAAACATACAATAATAGGAGGTATCAATCTCCCCCGAATCCATTAAAGCTAAATGAAGCTTTATACGCTGCCAAATTTTCACTGCTAACTACTCTTCTTCCCAATCCTTATGCTTCAGAACCTCTTTACCTGCAACTTTGCTACTTACATCCCAAAGCACAAGATATGCCCACAAAACCCATATGATCCCTCTTCACCCATATAGAAAACTCTTAGACAAAATACGACCCCTCCCAAGGCGTGGACAGGGCTCCACGGCCGTAGTAAATAGCCGCAGTAAAATGACTCAAGGCGGATCAAATACTGCAAGCATATACCTTGACCGCAGAAAACACTTTACAAAGGCGCACGAAAACAGGTTCGCAAACTGAGGTTGCCGAGTTTGGAAGATGGGAAGTGACTCAGAAGAGGTCAGGACAATATAATAATTAACAGTAACTCCACAAGTTGGGTTTGTATTACTATTTTTTTTTTTTTTTCTTAATCCTTTTTCACTCTGGTGCTTTCAAATGACCTTACAAGGTCCCCGCACCAAGAGAGGCGGCTCCCCCAGGCCGCTGGTCGGGAGGCGGACGCGCTCTGCGCGGTCACAACCAGAGCGCCACGCAGGGCTGGGGGAGGCCGAGGCGCGCTGGGGCGGGGCAGAAACGTTGTGCAACCCCCGACCAGGGGCCCCCGAGTATCCGACCAGGCGCCGCCCCAGACCGCCCGGCCAAAAGAAAGCCCCCGCCGCAGCCCTTCAGTTCAGAACCTGCCCAACCCTCGCCGCACGCAGAGAAGGGTCCTTAATCAAACCTCCAGGTACCACGAACGGCTTCGCGTCCCTCGCCCGACGGCGCCGACCATGCTCACTCACCGCCCATCCTCCTGCTCCACCAGCTTCACCCTTTAGCTCAGACCACAGCACCCTTCTCTCCCAGCGCCTCCTCTGACGCACTTCCCTGCAGGGCCCGCCCCCTCCATAACTCCCGCGCCTCCACCTCTGCCTCCACCCAGGGCCAGGCCCAGGGCCAGGGCCGAGGGGGCTTGTGGGAGTTGTAGGAGGGATGGAAGGACAGCTGCGGGAAGCCTCGGATGGCATTCCCAGTGCTGAGCGCAGCGCATTGTGGGGGATGTAGTTCAGCTCCAGAAGGCAAGTGGGTGCGCGAAAGGACCACGCAGGCTATCGGAGTCATATTTTCCTAGTAAGGGATGAGAGTCCAGAGAGTAAAACGACCTGTCTCCCCTCACAGCTAGTTATTGATTGTGACCTGTGTAACTCAGGTCTAACTTTCAGTCCTTTTACTCTCCTCATCAAACCACCCTACTTCTAAATATGAGTATAAACGAACAACTGTGCAAATAAATGTGGAGATTATATTTTGGAAATATTAGCCTTTTTTTCTTCCTCTCTGGCAGCTCCACTGCCATTGGAGCAGATAGTCTTTCTGGTCTTAAGCACCTAGGAACTATCTAGAAGGTAATGACATTATTTGAATTTCATACAATTTAAGTTTGTGGCTGCTTTTTTTCTTTTTTATGGTAAGTGATATTAGATTTCCGTTGTCTGTAGGAATATGAAGTTTACTTTTTTTTTAAACTGCTTTTATGAAGTTTACTTTTAAAATACATTTCAATTAATTAAAGAAAAATATTAGGTTAAAGTAGTACTGAAAGTATCAGATGTGCCAGAGGGCATAAAAATATGAATAGAGTATGCAAAAGTCAAGTTTGGGGAACATTGCAGACCAGGTCATGGGCAGTCTCAGAGATTGCAGGTGACTAGTGCCATGAGTCTGGGAAGAAAGACTGAGCAATGTACTGCCACAGAAATACTGCCTCAGAAACGCAAGGAGGGGTTGCTATGAGTCGGAGTTGACTCCACAGCTGTGAATTTGGTTTTGGTTTGGTTTAGTGCCAAGAGTAAGGAGCTGTGGTATCTTACTGCCTAAGGTATTTGACTGTTAACCAGAAGGTTGGTGGTTCAAACCTACCAGCCACTGCACAGAATGAAGACAGGGCAATCTACTTCTGTAAAGATTTACTACCTTGGAAACCCAATGGGGGTTATTATGAGTCAAAACTGGCTTAATGGCAGTGGATTTTGGTTTTTAGTACCATGCGTTGGAGTCAACTCTGTGGCAGTTGGTTTTAGAGGAGGTAATGGTGGTTCAAAGAGCCCTTTTGGCACAGTGGTTAAACACTCTGCTGCTAACCATAAGGTTGGCAGTTCAAACCCACTGGCTACAATGTGGGAGAAAGATGTGGCATTTGGCTTCCATAGAGATTTATAACCTTAGAAACCCTATGAGACAATTCTATTCTGTCCTTCAGGATTGCTTTAAGTCAGACTCAGTTTGACAGCAAGGGCTTGGGGTGGTTAAATGATAGAATTCTGGCCAATGCACCTCATGTGCAGCCTCACCCCATCAGTCAACACAAGAGGCTTGTGCTGCTATGATGTGGAACAAGTTTTAGTGGAGCTTCCCAAGTAAGACAGACTAAGAAGAAAGGTCAGGCAATCTATGAAAACTCTATGGATCAAAATCTGATCCTCTTGTGTGCCATGAGTCAGGGGGCCAGTTTGACAGCCAACAGGAGAAACAGAAGAAACAAAATGATTCTAATCCCTCAAGTACTACACAGAAATTCATGGAGAGGAAGCTGGAGCATCTTAGCAGTGATGTGTGGAGCCATAAAAGTGGCTCAGGATCTCCAATTGATGGGTTACTCAATAGATATTTTTGGAGACAATTGACTCAAAAAGACAGAGGGGATCCTCAGTCCCAACTCACCTCCAAATATCTTGGAATTTAGCTACTGCACAGGGAAAAAGTGAGAAATCCAAATTGACTGATATTAACCCTTTCAAAAGTGAATTATTTTCTGCTTGGATTTTTTGTTGAAATCATGTGTTTTCAATGGAAGACATTTTGAATGAAATGAGAAAAAATGTTTTTGAGGTACATAGATTTTTACAAAATTAGTGGGACACCTGTGCCCCAGGGGTCTCTGGTGCTGAGGCTGGTGGGATGAGGCCCATTTCTTCAGATTCACGCAGTTATACAGGCCCCCATCAGATGACAGTACTCACTAAAAGAGGGAAAGCAGCTTCCCACTAAACCCCAGAGGCAGATAATGTAGGCGGGAACTCCATGTCCCTTGGGTCATGAACGGATTAAATTTCTACCATCCTAACAATAAGACAGATTGACACAGTGGCTGCCACTATGGGTTTAGGTATAGCAGGGATTGTGAAGCTGGCACAGAACCAGGCAGTGTTTTGTTCTGCTCTGTTGTACATGGGGTTGCTATGAGTCGGAACTGATTCCACAGCACCTAACAACAACAACAACATATAGAAAATATAATATCTATCAGTTTCTCTATCTCTAGTTACATTTTTTTCACCTGAGCTGGTGAACTGATATCCATATCATAAATCCAGTACATAAATAAGGGAATAGCCAAGTACATCGTAATACTCAAACATGAACCTGGGTGTTCATCTGTATACTATGTATCAAAGGAGAACATTTGTCAGAGTACCAATTAGAACTGCACAGCAAGTTGATAATGTGAAATAATACTTCTGAATGCATTCATGCACCAGGAAATGTCATCATTCACTGGTTTTCATTAGAAATCCCCTACACTGGGGTAATTCTTCTCTGCACAAACAAACCTAGATAAAAGAGAACTTCAGAAGAGGAAGAGAAATAAATCACCTCAATTCACAGATAAGGAAGCCAAGGCATGTGCAAAATATTGGAGTGAACTTACTAGCTTTGTGACTTTGAACAATTTACTTCTTTAAGTCCCAGTTTTCTCTAGTATATGGATGTTAGCAGTATTGCCAGTTCCATGGGATCACTGTGAAGTTTAAATGAGAAAATACAAATGAAATGTCCAGCACAGGCCCTGAGATAAATAGTCACTTGATTATTGTTGTTGTTAGGTGCCATCGAGTCTGTTTTGACTAGTAACGATCCCATGTACAACAGAAAAACTCTGCTCAGTCCTGTATCATCCTCACAATCGTTGCTATGCTTGAGCTAATTTTGTAGCTACTGTGTCAATCCATCTCGTTGAGGGTCCTTCCCTTTTTCACTGAGCCTCTGCTTTACCAAGTGTGATATCTTTCTCCAGGTTTTGGTTGGTCCCTCCTGACGACATGACCACAGTCCTGGAGACAAAATTGGGCCTTTCTTGCTTATAAGGAGCATTTTGGCTATACTTCCAAACAGATTTGTTTGTTCTTCTGGTGGTCCATGGTATTTTCAGTATTCTTTCCCAGCACCACAATTCAAAGGCATCAACTCTTTTTTGGTCTTACTTATTGACTATCCAGTTTTCATATGCATATGCACGCATGCACGCGGGCACACACTGCCATTGAGTTG